CCCCAAAACCCCAAAACCCCAAAACCCCAAAACCCCATCAATAATTCAATATTTTCAAGATAATTTAAGTTTGTTTTTTGTCAGAAATTAACTAATCCTTAATTTGAAATTTAAATTGGATATTTTTATAATAGCAGATAGGATGGAAAAACAAAACCAAAATTTCATTTTCAAACAAGTTAAATCAGTATCATTAACAATATACATCTTTGGATTGCTTCCAATGAAGGAATCTCAGCTGTGTTTAAGAGGTTTGTCGAAATTCGGCTAAAGTATATCTGAGAGATTGGCAGAATCTTATCACGGTTAAGATGACAAGGGCTTCTATGAAAAAATAGAGGTAGTTGAGGATTTTGACATTGTTAAATTGAATGAAAGATTACTGAATAAGAAGGTCATTCAGCTCTAGATTAATCTTTGTTTGTTCTTGAGATTAAAGGATAATCCTCAAGAATTAGAAATTTTCAGAACACTGACCGCTCTTGATTCTGTGAGGATTTTAAGGTTTCAGAATACATCAAGCTATAGTTATACTATGATAAATAAGGAATTAGATAATTGGGAAGTTCACACCTCAATTAATAAAATACTGCTTGAAAACAATAAATTCAAAGTCAAACAAGCTGACAGATTCTTAAAGAAAGTAGTTTCATTGAGATCAATAACAAACTTGCAACTGGTTGGCTGCCTTTTCAACAGTCAAAATTTTCAAATCCTGATAGATGAACTTGCCAATAACAATGAAAGTTTGAGATCTTTGACCATTTCATGTTTAAGATTCTTTCAAGAATTAGAAACAGACAAGAATCATTAAAAGCAGATGCTTGATAATCTGGCTAATTCAATCAAGGGATAAAGATACCTTAAGACATTGAAGCTAAATTAGAATGAAGGATGCATTGACTTTTTAAAAAGTGTGATTGCTAATAACAATACTGTCCAAAAGTTAAGCCTAAGTCAATGTGACCTAAGAGATAATAACTTCTTACTACTTCTTGAGGCTTTTCTATAAAACCAAACTCTACAAAGTATTGATCTCTCTCACAACAAATTGAAAGCATAAAGTGGAAGACACTTGAAAGATATCATAGCATCCAATCCTGTTAATCTGCAATCGCTTATTCTAAATAACAATGAACTTGATGATAGGGGATTTTCATATGTCTTAGAAGGGATGGATGCATCTCAATCTTAGCTAATAAACCTAGATGTATCTTAAAATCACATTAGATTTGAAAACAGCCTTTTAACACAGAGCTTGATATCTATCTGTAAAAGAAAGCATTTGAAAAATTTGATTCTTTCTCACAATGCCATTACTCCATTAGGATGCGAAAAATTATTATAATTACATGAATAAATGGGCAATAGATTATTCGATGCACTGCATCTTGACACGAACAAACACATCAAAGATGATGGTGCTGTAATAATATCATAGATTATTGAAAAGTCATTGCAAATAAGGCATGTTGGGTTGATAAACTGTGAGATTAGTGATAGAGGAGGATAAGTTATTGCTAATTCATTATCAAAGAATGAGTCTCTCTTTAGTTTGCACTTAGGCTTTAATCCTATCTCTTGTGAGACTGTTGAGAGAATGAGTGACTCTCTTAAAGTTAACTAGACTTTAAAGATTTTGTAAATGCACTTCTGTTCTATAGGGGAGAGAGGTGCATTATCTTTAGCTTCAAGTCTCTAGGTCAATTCAAGACTGACAAGATTGATCTTGAAAGCAAACCCAATCGGTAATAAAGGTTGTTAAGCTATCTTGACTAGTCTTAAATTCAACCATTCGCTGATTGTTATCAACTTAGAAGATTGTGGACTTTTACAATTAGATGAGGGGGTATGTGAAGCACTTTCAGTAAATAAAACCTTAGAGGTACTTTGGATATGCAACAATTAACTGGGAGAGGGCACTGGAAAAGTAATGGCTTAAGTTCTTGAGAATAACAGTATGCTAAAAATAATAAATCTCTAGGGAAACTTCTTGAATGACAAAGATGCGGAAGAACTATTCTATGGTCTGAGAAAAAATACAACTTGCAGGCATCTGTCCCTAAATACTAATTCATTTAGCGATCAAGGTAAAAAGCTTTTGAATGATGAAAAGAAAAATCATCTCATTAACAGAAGCAGATTGATATTTTGATTACCGAATATGGAAAAGATATTAACAAATTTTACAATAAAAATCTTTCAATATTTATGGATTTAATCGCACGGGGTTTTGGGGTTTTGGGGTTTTGGGG